CTGACATTTTATCAGAGCTGTGTTTTATCAGCACTATTATATGAATCAGAATGCTGGCAGATGACAGAGTACAACCTCGATAAATGGTCGACTTTTCACACCAGAAGACTTTGGAGGATCCTCTGTATTTTTTGGCCAAGAATAATTTCAAATCAGGACCTGCTTGCGCTGTGTAAACAAGATGTCATGGCTACCATCATCATGAAAAGATGCTGGAGATGGATTGGGTACATGGCTCAGGAAAGATGGAAGCTCCATCACAAAGATTGCTGTGCACTGGACGCCTGAAGGGAAGCGGAAACGAGGATGTCCCAAGACGACATGGTGCCGCACCGTTGAAGTAGAAATGAGCATGAATTACACTTGGGGCACTATTGAGAGGCTGGCCAGAGATAGACAGAAATGGAGGACCTTTGTTGCTGCCCTGTACTCCAGTGGGCATGAAGGACATGGGGTTCCCTGGCAGAAGCTGGGGCTCTCCAGCCACCGCCTGGCCCTGCTGACACCAATACTCCCCAGCCACTGCTTGGCCCCATTGCTCCTGGGAGTTCCCTGGCCAGGATGGGGGCTCCCCAGATGTTGCTGGCCTAGCCGGGCCTATCCAGTTCTCGCGTTGTCTCAGTTGGCTCCGGGTGCTCTTTGGTCCAGTAACATCCGCGGCTCTGCTGGACCTCGAATGTTGCCGGACCAGAGAATCCCGGATTTGGGAAGTTCAACCTGTATTGACCTATGGAGGATGTTTTGACCTCTAGTTAAAGGACAGATGAGTGTCTCTATCTCTTACCCTTCCTTGCATCTTTAATAGTATTTTTTACAAAGAAAAGTTCAGCATTAAGCTAAAGTTGACATGGCTTTCAGATTAATGTGCATGAAGGCATTTTGTTTTGAGTTCTGTCTGTTCAAACTTTAAGTCATTACAGCGATTCAGGTTAATTCTTACAATAGTGACATAGGTTTAACAGCGATACCGTAATAGGGTCCCAGTCTACTTCCCACTAGATCTGTCTATGTGCTAAAGTTTTTAATAAGCTGGTTTGAAAATAATAAAATAAAAATAATTACACATTTTTATTTAGAAAGAAGTTATCAGCTTTCCCTGGCACACCATTTCCACGATATCCAAAGTCTTGGCTTTATTTATAGTCTCGTGGTCTAGATCTTAAGTAATTGCATGTTTATGAAGTAATAGTTGAGTCAGGAAGTAAAAATGATTAAGATGTATTCCCTAAGTGACTCATTGATTTTGTTCAGTAGGTTTAACATAATACTTTGGCTTCATAAGAACAGTCTGGATAAACCACTTCTACAGCACAAAAATATCTGCATTGAAATCTTCAAATATAAAAAAACCTGTATTCTGCAATCTTGTTCTAGTCGCTAACCTTTATTTAAGAAAATTACATTTCTAAAGCTGCTAGCTGCAAAGATACCTATTAATATGTAATTCAAACCGTTATCGTCTGCTCCAAGCCTGCAAAGAAATAACAGTAATACAGTGAAAGTTCTGTGCCTTCATCCTCCCACATACCTCTTAAAACAGTATTAACATTGAAGTCTAGTCACTGGCCACTTACATGTTGATATGATTTAACAAGCAGCTAAGGTAGGTGTTAGGTTGCAGTGTCTGTTTCCTGCAAGTAGTTCAACTTAAAATGTTACATTACTCAAACATATTAGAACAAAGAGTTATACCTGACCTATCTGAGGATAGGACAAGAAGCAGAGGGCTTGTCAGGGTGGTTAAACACTGGTATAAGTTGCCTAGGGAGGATGTAGACTCTCTATCTCTGGAGATATTTAAGAGCAGGTTGGATAGACAACTATCAGGGATGGTCTAGATGGTACTGGGTCCTGCCGTGAGGACTTGATGACCCCTCGAGATCCCTTCCAATTCTAGTGTTCTATGATTCTGTGATGATTAATGTAACCAATGAATAGTTCGGTGTACAAGGAAAAAAACAAGCATTTTTTCTTGCAAGTGCTAGAGTATACAAAATATGTAAAAGATATTAACGGAGTGACACATTACAGTAAAAGCTATGCTTACAAATTGTACTTTATATATAAATAAGTACATATTTAGTATAACAAATATATAGTATGTTGTGTAATGGAAAAATATAACCCATTCTTCCTTACTTGTGAGAGGATGGCAGAACCACGGCTGACCTTACAGCCCATTAAGAATATTTTACATATTTTTACAAAATTTCAAAAATGTAAGAAAAGAGGAGCTGGTTTGGAGAATTTCATTTTCTACTTCCCATATTTCATGCTAATAAAGGAAGATGGGCAGTGCTTGCTCTTGCCTGACTGATTTTCTAACTGTCTTGTGCGAAGTCTCAGAGGGGTAGTTGTGTTGGTCTGTATCTGCAATAACGAGGATTCCTGTGGCAACTTAGAGACTAACAGATTTGTTAGGGTACAAGCATAACTTCTTCCTTATATGTATCCCTTCTTCTGTAACTTACACTCCAATTCATCTGGTGAAGGGCATTTTCCCATAAAAACTTATGCCTTAATAAAACTGTTAGTCTCTAAGGTGCCACAGGATTACTCTTTTAACTATGAGTACTTTTGAATTGGTCACACTCTAAATGAAGACTAAAGTGACAGTTAATAGCATGTCCACTGACAAGTTTAACTTTACACAACTGAAGCTTCAGTCAGACTAAAATTATTTTTAGGTGAATGCAATCAAGCTATTATTAAATTTAAATCTTGGAAAAGCTAGTCTTTTGCAGGTGGTGGTTCAGTAAAAGCATTGAAACACTGACAATTTAGGAATGTAAACAGTGTTTAAGTAATTAAACTACAAAGATGAAGCTGCTAATTATCTTCCAGTTGCTATTAGTCTTAATTGAAATAAAAGGATTTTCCAAAGAGGGGATTGTGTTCTTGTTTTGCTGCTTTGTTTTGTGAGGAAGGTTTATGTTTTATGCTCAAAGGGTGAACATGTTCAAAGCTTATTTGAAATATTAGGATTAATATTAGAAATATTAATAATGTCTTCCCTAATTTTGCTGGAGGACTTCTTTTGTGTTTTTGTGAGAGTAAGGGTTGATCTTAGATGTATTGTGAGCTTTCTCACCTTTATTGCGGTGGGGAATTCTAGAATTGTAGCACTGGATGAGACATGAAACGTCATCTAGTCCAGTCGTTTTCATTCATGGCAGGACTAAGTATTCTTTAGAACAAGGGCAGGGAACCTTTTTTGGGACGGGGACCACTGACACTCAGAAAAATCAGGAGCCACGCATAAGTGAGAAGAAAAAAAAAACCCATAACCCTCCCTGACCTGGCCCTTCAAGTAAGAAGGAGGGGGGGGAAACCCTCACAGATGTGACCCCCCAGCAGAGAAACAGGTCAAAAATACTCCCTTCAAACTCCAGCCCCATGGGTATGTGTGAAAGACAGAGGGCTTACCCCATGTGCTGGATTGACTCTTTTGAAGGCTCAGGGCTACTAGATTTTGTGGCCTACCCTAGGCTCTGGAATGGGGCCAAAAATGAAGGGTTCACTGTGTGGGAGGGGGTTGCCAGGAAGTGGGCTGTGGGTTGGAGTGTGGGATCTGAGCAGGAGGAGGATGTGGAGGTGTGGGGGCTCGGAGGGAGGAAGGTGCAGGATTGGGGTCCAGGAGAGAGGGTGCTAGAGTGGTGTGGGGGCCACTGTCATTGGCCACGATTCCCAGAGAGTGGGAGTGACAGGAAACAGTGCCTGCAGGGAGCACTTCCTCCCTCTTTCCAGGCAGAGCCTGTGGTCTTGCGGCTTGCCTTGATTGGTCTGCAAGGTTCAGGGCTTCCCGCCCCCTCAGTGGGGAGCTAGTGCTGATACTTCAGTCATGGCATTTCCTGCGTGGCTGGAGCACCAGTGCTGGCTTGCACTGTTGCGGGGTGGGACTGAGCCCTGAGCCTCGTGGGCCAGATCAGGGCAAGCTGTGGGTTCCCCACCCTTTAATTTAGAACATCCCCAACTCTTAAAAATCTCCAATAATGGAGACCACACAAGCCCCTGGGCAATGTAGTCTAGTGCTTAACCAACTTGACAGGAAGTTTTTTCCTAATATCCAAACTAAACCGCCCTTGTTGCAATTAAAGCCTATTGCTGCTTGCCCTATCCTCAAGGATTAATGAGAACAATTTTTCTCCTTTCTTCTTGCAACAACCTTTTATGTATTTGAAAAATGTCTAACATTTACTAGCAATTGAGTAGTACACATTTTTTTAGCAATGTGGATTTAAAAATGTATTTGCTGAGCCTTTTCGTATGTAATGTCATAATTTTACTAGTTCTGGGTTTAATTAAACTAAAAGGGTCTTCTATACTTACATTTCTGTAGTTCAGTAAAGCTTTCCATTATGATATACAGGTTACACCTCTGAAATCCAGCATTCTCTGGTCTGGGACCTAATGGCAGGAGGGCCAGCAGCCCGGTCAGGACTGGGGCAGCAGGGCTGGAGGAGCCCCGCAGCAGTGCTGGCGCTGGGGTCGTAGAACTCTAGCAGCCTGCAGCAGTGCGGGCCCAGAGAACCTTGCAGAACCAGGAGTTGCTGAACCTCAGCTGCCTGCAACATCTGAGGACTGGAGAAGCCTGGCAGTGCGGGGCCAGGGAACCTTACCCAGACACGCAGTGCAGAGCTGAAGAAGCCCGGCCACTCGCAGTAGTGCAAAGCCAGGAGCTGAAGGGTTGTAGCCGCCCACAGCAACGTGGAGCTGGGGAAACCTGGCCATCCGCGGCAGCGCGAGGCCAGTGCTAGGGCTGGAGAACTGTTTTTGCCCATGGCAGCCTGGAGTTGGGACAGTCCAGCTGGGGAGGGAGTAGTGGGGCCCAGAGGCAGGGGGCTGGCTCCGGGTAGATGGTAGGAACACCTCCCCTGGCCGGGTAAATTCTCATTCGGGACCGGTCAGGTCCCAACGGTGCCAGAAAAGGGAGGTTCAACCTGTACCAATAACAAAGACTTGTGAATTTGCAATCATTCTTCTTTTGATCTTTTATATAGGTTAAATTTAGTTGAGACCTTTGTGGTAGACACAGAGCTACGGCAGTGCCTTCAAGAAGAGCTTCTACGTCGTTTTCCAGATCTCAACCGGCTAGCCAAGAAATTTCAAAGACAGGTAGCAACACTACAAGATTGTTACCGCATGTATCAAGCTGTTAACCAACTGCCTAATGTCGTACAGGCACTGGAAAAACATGAAGGTAACATGCCTCCCATCTCCTATTTTAAATGTTTTATCTTTTGTGGTATATTGATATTGGCAAGAAGTAGAGAATGGATTTTGGAAGATTAATTTGATAGCCTATTTTGATGAAGGCAGTAAAATTGAAAGGGAATTGGAAGTGTGTTGCAATTCTGTAACATTAGAGATACTTTGCAGATGAATTGGACAAGTGAATAGAAATAAAAATGTCCCAAATGGTACAGTATCCGTTTTGCAAAAACACTTTATAACAGATAGGTGGTGAAGAGAGAAAGTTCAATCATGACTGCTAGGGAGAAATATCCCATAAACCATTCTGTCTTGAGAGTTCGTTCTTGAAAAATAAAATTAAATACAATAATTTGTTTGCTTATTTGGAAGTAACACCATGGTTATTGTTGACTTTTTTGAAGGAAACTTTTTAGTTGTAGAATTTAGTAATTCTCTACTAGTGAGTGTTTAAATAAAGTAAAACTTCATAAGAAGTGAAAACGTTAGCGGAATAACTGTCAATACTTTTTTTGTTTTTTAATTAAAAACTAATGTGGTAAAGCTTTTTCACACCTTAAGTCAATAACAGCTGGCAGTATCTGATTTTTATTAGAAGGGGAGCTTATATTAATTACTTCAGGCAAAAACTGAGACTACTATAGCCATAATGACTAAGAGAAAAATGAAATTGGGTATTTGTCTGATAATAGCTGAAGGTATTCAGTGCCCATAAACAAAAATAGGTTTCTTTTTCTTGATAAATTGTAGTACAGTATGAAAAGGGAAGGAGAACATCATAAAGTAAGATATATTGTCAAACACTTATATGGGAAATGGGCTTACATATATATATATGAGCCTAGTATTCAGGGTAAAGTGTAATCCGTTGCAAACCTGTTTAACCATGGAAAATTCATATAGCTACTACAGATTAAAATGTGGTTACATAGACCACCATATTAAGTTACTATCAGATCATATTGAAAGCAGGCATTTTTCCCCTTAGGAAAGTGAAGATTACTAAAAAGGTAGATTTTGACTCAGTCTCACTAAAAATGTCCTTGTGTTACCGACAAGACTTTACAAAATGATGGAAAAGTCCTTGTAATATGTATGTTTATGCATACTCTAGAGGTGAATAAGGTGGGTTTTTTTTCCCCAAAAAATGTTGAGCACCAAGTAAGTTTATTCCCCAAATTACTAAAAATCTGTAGTTGGGAGGGAGACAGGTGAAATAGTAGGCTTAATCTTAATTTCAGCTGTTTATGCCAGTTAAGGGATGTGGTCCCAATTATCTTAGTCTTATGGAATTCTTACCATGCCTGATAGAACACCATGATTATGACAAGTAAATCGCTCACAATTTAAGTGAGTATTTAAAAAAAGAAAAGAAACACAATGAAGCAGCAAACAAAGGTTCCAGAAGAGTCTCAGTCTTTTCTGTATGTCTCTGTAGAGAGCTTCCAGTAGAGATTACACCTTTGAGTGGGTCTGCCTTTGTGTGGACACCCTTCTTTAAGTAAAATAAGATCACAGTATATTCCATGAATCATTTGTGACTCCTGTCTTTGTTTATCAGTTAAAAAGTTGATAAAAAGCAGCATTTTTCTAGGATTTTTGTTAATTAACTTGAATATCATATTTAATAAAATAAGTAGGGCAGTCAAGTGATTAAAAAATTGAATCACGATTAATCGCACGATTAAACAATGTAATTGTGATTAATTGCACATGCCTCCCCTTTGAAACTCTGCGGCAGCATTTCAACAGGGCAGTGCTGCATGGAGCCTGGGATCAGCTAGAGTCCTCAGCTGACCCCAGGCTCCATGTAGTGCTCCCCCTTTGAAGTGCTGTGGCAGTGCATCAAAGGGGCAACGCAAAACAGAGTCCCGGATCAGCTGGAGTGCCCAGCTTATCTGGGGCTCTGCGTTGCACTACCCCTTGGAAATGCTGCTCTGGTGCCTCAAAGGGGCAGCACATTAGGAGCCCGGGATCAGTTGAAGTGATGCTGATGGAGTGCAGATAGGTGCAATTCTGTTATGGTATTTGTCAGCCTTGATCTGATCATTTTCCTATCCATTTGTTTGTTGAGACCAGAAGAGGTGGAATATGAAAATAATTTTTGGTAAGTTTGAGAATCTGACACATTTCAGGATTTTTGTTTCCTGATTTAATGATTCTTGGGAAGAAGATCAATCAAACTGTTAAGCTGGCAACTGTGACTACTTTTCCCTGGAGGATGTAAAGCAGTTATTTACATTGCTGGTCTTAATTTTATGAACTATGCAAATTATTAGTAGAGATGTTGATTTTAGCAGCCAAAAATTTAATTTCTTAATGTTTGAAGAGATGTAAAGTGCTCTTACCTTTCAATTTTCTGTGCAGTAACACAGTATTTTTAATTTTAGTTGATAGACATAGTAAACCTTTTTGCTATAGTAACCTTAAACTTGTGGCAATCGTGGAATTGTGGTTTCATTAAATAAAAATGCGGAGATCAGAGGTAGGTGATGCGATGGGTTCATTCCTTTCCTTTTCACTTTTGGAGTTGTTATAGGTCAATTCTTCTCTTCCTCTGTATGTGCACAGCTTGCTTACTTTGATAATGGGAATTATATTCAGAGAATTTGTTGATAGGATTATAAAATGAAAAATAAATGCAAAGTGTGACAAATGGAGTTTAATTTTGAGTTTCTTGCTAAAGCTTCTTTCACTTATTCACGAACATGATATATTATATATGTAAAGAGTGTGAATGAGAACTATTTTTATAATTCATTGTTCACTGAGTTTATTAAATCTTGTATCATCATGCCTTAAATCTAAGTAACAAAACTAGAATGAAAATGATTATTTAAACTATTTTAAAAGTGTCTTTTATGTGATTCACAGGCAAAAGAAATTCAGTATTTTTTTAATCTTAAATTTGACTTTTATTGTGAATTTTTACATTGTGGCTTTAGATTTGTAAAACATGGCCATCTAACATCGTTATTTAAATTGTATCATTAAACTTTATTCATTCTTTTAAACATGGTGAATTTTTACTGCTACTTAAATTAATTGTGATCATTTATCAGGTATTCAGAATTAACAATATTTTGAGGTTATTTCACTGTGTTGATTCTGCTTTGTGTTAACCAGTCCATGAAAAATTGATGATGCCACTTTGAGAGAAGAGAAATTATTTCACATTCTGTTTATCTAATCCCTACCACATCCTTACTTCATCTTATTTCTCCAAATTAGTTCAGGTTTGTTTTCCTGAGTTCTCTTAAATAAAAAATGAATATGTATCACAATTCATGTTCCTTCAGCTCTTTGGAAGGAGAAACACAATTGCCTCCATATTAGTCAGATTGTGGATGGACTGGAATTCTTGGCTTTGCAGTGTAACTTAAATTCCACAATTTAAAACTCTGCCTACTTCCAATATATTGGTGCATATTTCTTTTCTCTGTGCTGCTGTGTCTTTTTGCATTGCTCTTTAAAGTTGTTTTCCAGACTACTTAGATTAAAATAATTGTCCATTTCTGGCTCATGTCCTAATCCAGGACATTGGGAGGTCCACAATGTGATCTTCGATGCACATGTTCATGGCCTACTATGATATCATTCAGCAGGCCAGGAACGATACTGCATTCGGTTCAGATGTGTTGCAGTCGCCATGTCCACCTCTGGAGGTATTGCTTGGGAGTCACTTTGAATAGAATGGACATGAGCAAGGAAGGCTGCTAAGGGTGCCTGAACTCTACGAGTGGGCTTTCACAACAGACATGACAGAACTTCAATAAATGACAATTCCCTTTTTTCGTAGATGATGTTCTTTTGAGATTTGTCGCTCATGTCTGTTCCATGACCTACCCTCCTTCCACACTGTCAGTTTCCAAAATGAATGAACTGAAGGTGGGGGAGCTGGCAAGCACCTTTTATATTATGGCATACTCACAGCACTCCAGAGGGTGCCAGAGCTGGTTCCCTGTGGATAATACTGAGGGGGAAAAACTGCTCCCACTGGAGCATGTGGCGCGCATGCACACCTAGAATGCAATGGGTGTGAACAACACAGCTTGAACACCAGTTCTTGAAAAAGATAAACTCTTTTTATTTTGCTTATTTAATAGCCTTTAGATGGAAATGACAGGTCACTGTGTACCTTGGATAGACTGGAGTTCATGAAATGCTGATAGTGATCTCCTGAATTGTCTAGTCTCCTAGTTTGTGCACCTTTTAGCATTTGCTGGCTTGAGTTAGCGGAGTGTCTTCTGTGTGTGGAGGGGGAGGGGGTATTAAACACCGCTTGGTACCCAGATTACACACAGTTTAACTCCTGAAAAATATTGAGGTGTTGAATGAAGTGTAAGAAGCAATTTACTACTGCTTCAAGGACGTGTGGTACATCATTAAATAATACAATTTGTGAGAGAGAATGACTTTCAATCAGTTTGCAATCTAGACAATTCAAAAGTTTGAGATGTTTTAAACAGAATACTGATGGTAAGGTCTGCAGAACTTAACAGAAGATAGTGAGAACTTTCCTCATTCAGTATATACATTGTGATACTGAAGTCCAGCAGTCTGTTGGGACCTGAGAATATTTTTGGAGTAGTTTAACCCCATAGGTTGAAGAGCCTGATTAATGTAACTTTCCCGTTGCAAGTTCTGCACTACTGAGAATTGGGGATGAATGGAAGCAGAACAAATGGATTGGAGGGCACCAAGATACTGCCTGCCGCCTCGGTTCATGCGACTATTATAGGCAAAAGTAGGTGCAGAGAATATGCTCCCAGTTTGCCTTACTGGAAGTGAGCTTTTCAAACTTTGCCACATGTCACTGCTGTTACTTGCACTGTGCACTAGTTTTGTTTTTTGAGGGGGCGAGGGAAGATATATGGGAGGAATTAAAAGGGAAACTTCAATTTACCGCTCCCATAGACAAATCTTAAAGACAGTTTCTGTAGATAATTCCCAGGGAGATCTCCATGTCACAGATCAAATACAATTCAGTACACAAAATCAGTAAATTCTTAGATGCACACCCCTATGCTGAAAGCTGTCCAGCACCTAATGGGATCTGAGTGTTCAAACCAGGAGACAGACACTGAGGAAGTATATGTTTCTTCCCCTCACTTTTGTCCCAAAGAAATCAAGAGGTGGCAGAGTGGTGTTGGATTTTGTGGAAATGAAACCATTTACCTCTCCAAATACGTGAGGACAAAAAGATGGGTTGTGGTTCGCGGCTAAATAAATACAAAATCCAGATTCTAGAACTGAAAGAGAGGGCATCAATTTCAAAACAGATCCAGCAGCTCACTCTTTTCAAAATGAGGGTGTTCCAATCAATTTTTTTTCAGATGTTGTTATAGAGTAGAAATAATTCTGATAAATATGTCCTATATCTAGATCATTTAGAGCAGCAATCAGTTACTTCTTAGAGGTTAATATTAGAACATAAGAACGGCCGTACTGGGTCAGACCAAAGGTCCTTCTAGCCCAGTATCCTGTGCAGTGGCCAGCACCAGGTGCCCCAGAGAGGGTGGACCGAAGACAATGATCAAGCGATTTGTCTCCTGCCATCCCTCTCCAGCCTCTGACAGACAGAGGCCAAGGACACCATTTTATCCCCTGGCTAATAGCCTTTTATCGACCTAACCTCCATGAAATTATCTGGCTTCTCTTTAAACTCTATTATAGTCCTAGCCTTCACAGCCTCCTCTGGCAAGGAGTTCCACAGGTTGACTACACGCTGTGTGAAGAAGAACTTTCTTTTATTAGTTTTAACCCTGCTACCCATTAATTTCATTTGGTATCCTCTAGTTCTTCTATTATGGGAACTAATAAATAACTTTTCTTTATCGGCCCTCTCCACACCACTCATGATTTTATATACCTCTATCATATCCCCCCCCTCAGTCTCCTCTTTTCTAAACTGAAAAGTCCCAGTCGCTTTAACCTCTCCTCATATAGGACCCGTTCCAAACCCCTAATAATTTTAGTTGCCCTTTTCTGAACCCTTTCCAAGGCCAAAATATCTTTTTTGAGGTGAGGAGACCACATCTGTACACAGTATTCAAGATGTGGGCGTACCATAGTTTTATACAGGGGCAGTAAGATATTCTGGGTCTTATTTTCTATCCCTTTCCTAATAATTTCTAGCATCCTATTTGCCTTTTTGCCCGCCGCTGAACACTGCGTGGAAGTTTTCAGAGAACGATCCACGATAACTCCAAGATCCCTTTCCTGATTTGTCGTAGCCAAATTAGCTCCCATCATACTGTACATATAGTTGGGGTTATTTTTCCCAATGTGCATTACTTTACACTTATCCACATTAAATTTCATTTGCCATTTTGCTGCCCAATCACTCAGTTTGGTGAGATCTTCTTGGAGTCCCTCACAGTCTGCTTCTGTCTTGACTATCCTAAACAGCTTGGTATCATCTGCAAACTTTACTACCTCACTGCTTACCCCTTTCTCCAGATCATTTATGAATAAGTTGAAAAGGATTGGTCCCAGGACTGACCCTTGGGGTACACCACTAGTTACCCCTCTCCAATCTGAAAATTTACAATTTATTCCTACCCTTTGTTTCCTGTCTTTTAACCAGTTCGCAATCCAAGAAAGGACCTTCCCTCTTATCCCTTGGCCATGTAATTTACACAAGAGCCTTTGGTGAGGGACCTTGTCAAAGGCTTTCTGAAAATCCAAGTATACTATATCTACTGGATTCCCCCTTATCTGCATGCTTGTTAACCCCTTCAAAGAACTCTAATAGATTAGTAAAACAGGATTTCCCTTTACAGAAACCATGTTGACTTTTGTCCAACAAATTATGTTCTTCTATATGCTTCACAATTGTATTCTTTACTATATTGTGTGTGTGAAAGTGAAATGGAAAAAAGACTAGGGTTTCTCTAAATATGTTGATAAGGAAAGGGAAAGTTCTGGTAAAAAGCCAGTAGATAGTACTATCTTTACCTGTTAGTGCACTGAGGTTACTTGTGAACATGAAAGGAGTATATCATATTCAGATGCAAACCTTATTATTCTATACTTAATCACAATTGTGGGATAATTCGTATTAGTAATACTGATGTAACTTTAGGTGCTGTGACTAAACTACACCTCATAATCGCAAAAATGTAAACATTTATTTACTGATATGAAGTGTTTGTTGTTAGCTGTTGTATAGGATTACAGTTGCAATCCAGAAAACATGCTGGCTTTACAGAAATATAAATGTCAGCAGGTGCTAATGGTAAATTTAGAGTCTTATCTGTTTTTGTGTTTCATTGCTTTTCTTTTATACATTTAAAATTCTATAAACGTTTGTGTGAGATGTGGCATCTCTTGCTGATGACTATTCAGTGTTAGGTCATATATAGAACATGCATATAGACAAATAGATGCTACATTTTACAATTTATTTTTTGACTGCTTAATGAATTGGCTTCCCATTTGAAATTAATATTAGTAGATATAAAATTCTGATGTAGTGACAAGGAGACATTTTAACAATTTCCCAGTGATGCCCAAGGTAATTATTTACAACTTGTAATTTTGGAAGTTTCCTAATTTGTGGGATTTTATTTTAAATGCAAACAATTTTCATAGGGCAAATTATAATAGAATTTAAAAAATAATTTCAAATAGTAAATTATGAAAATTGGTAGCTCTAAGAGATGAAAATCTCAGCAAAAGCAGCTTTCAAATCTCTGCTTTCCCCTGCAACATTGGGTTGTGTTCAGATGGCAGATGGTCACTTTGTCATCGATGTGATAGGGTCAGGCCAGAGGGCTACAGAAGAGTGCTAGAAGGAAAGTATGTTAGCTCTAGAGTAAGTAGATCTCTGTTCCTTGGGAAAACTGGCAGGGGCTGGTCTAGAACCAGCAAGAACTTTCCAGAATCAGGCTGGACAATCAGACCCGTTGGAACTTCCAGAGCCAAGGGAGTCAGTGTAATGAAAACACTTCGGGCCAATCAAGAATCAATTGAGACTTTTTTAAAACGGCTCCTCTTCTGTTAGTTCAGAGGCAAAGATCTGAGAGCAAGAGGTGTCTGAGTGAGAGCTAGGAGCTGTAAGACATGCAGAGTGCTGTGGAGGAGCAGGGTATGCGGCTCAGGGACCAGAGGAAAGGTACTGGGAGAGAATGTTTGGGGAAGTGGCCCAGGGAAGAGTTGCCAGAGTAGGAGTCTGTTGCTGCTGCCTTAGGGACCCTGGGCCAGAACCCAGAGTAATGGGTGGGTCCAGGTTCCCCCCAATCCTTCCCACAGTACTATAGGCTCTGTTACTGGTTAGGGAGACCAGGACTATAGAGAGATTTCACCCCATATGGACTAGCCTGTGATGAGTATGGCTCAGAAAGCTGTAGCCCTTGCCTCTAAAAGAAGAGGCTGTGCGGGGGTTACAGTACAGCTCTGAGACTGAACACTGTCTGCCAGAAGCGCAGAACCCACCGTCACAGCCAGAGCCCTGCCACACTATTAATGCAGTTTATTTGTGTCACTTTATTCATATCCAAAGTACATGCAATATCATCAAGTGATTCTCTAGAGCAGTGATTCTAAACCTTTTAGCACTGTGGACCGCATATGCAGTTGTCTGTGTTATATGGGCCACTTCCACACAATATATATAAACTACCTCTATGGCTTGAGAATGTCACATGGGCTGCGGCAGTGTTGATTGGGCCACAGGTGGGCTGTGGGTTTGATAACCACTGTGCTAGTGAGACTGCAAATGTTTAGTCTCCATTCTTGGAGTGAAATAGATAAGCTAAAATAGGAAGAATTCCTGGAGTAATTGCAGTCTTTGAAATAACTGTTGTTACAGCGTAGTGAAAATTGACTACTTGTTAGTTGTGTGATGGTGCTATTTTGCTTTAGGATGGTAAGTTAATTTGAAATATTTAGAGAAATAATGACTTATCACACTTTGTTCTTTGACAGGAACACATCAGATGTTGTTGCTGACAGTATTTGTAATGCCTCTTAACGATCTCAGCTCCGACTTCTCCAAGTTTCAGGAAATGATAGAAACAACTTTAGACATGAACAAGGTATGGCATAGTTTCTTAAAAAGTATGAAGCATTGTGCTGACCTATACTGGTTTGGTTCACTCTTGCTTAAGACACTCAATGTTTAATCTAAAAATTGGTAGCTCTAGAACAGGGCTGGGCAAGATGCGGCCCGGGGCCCAGATCTGGCCTGCCTAACACTTTGATCTGATACATGGACTGCATCTGGCTGCTGCCCAGGCAACTGAATTTCCAGATGGTGGCTCAGACAACAGGATCCTATTTCGAGATCTCTCAGTCATGGTGCTACCTTGGCAGGGGCCAGAATCACAAGTCTTTTAAATAGCCTGCAGCTGCCAGGCAATGCAGTAGCAGCAGGGCTGGAAGCCGTGAGCCCTTTGTTGTGTTTCTAATTTAAAGCCCACCGCCCCAGACAACTCCGGGGAGAGGCTAGTCTCCAGCTCTGCCCTTTCCTCCCCAGACCCCATCCGCCCATGACCACATAGCAAAATTCATTAAGTGCCCCCCCACCCCGCAAAAGTATTGCCCACCCCTGCTCTAGAAGATAAAATGTATTGCCATAGAACATTTTAAGTTGCTACAATTAGATGGATATTCGAGTAACTTATTGAGTATAAATGTATATATACTTTTTAGAGAGTTTTGCATCTGTCTGTCCGTGAGTCAGTCCGTCCATCCATCTGTCTATTCCATACTGAGAATATGGAACACTACGTATCTCTAAAGAGGTAAACCCAGAGTTCCCATGAGGGTGGAGTTGTGGGAAAAGGTATATTTAAGTTATAGGGAAGTCTGATGAAACTGTACTACTCTCAGGGGCTAGGCAGTTGGACCAAGTTGGTGCCAGTCTCAGGAGGAAATTCTAGCAAGAGACAGTGATTAGAATCTATTTAAAATCACAGATTACTAGAACTGGATGGGACCTCAAGAGGTCATCAAGTCCAGTCCTTGTACTCATAGCAGGACAAAGCACCCTAGATCATCCCTGATAAGTGTTTGTCTAATCCAGTGTTTCCTAAACTATGGATCGCGGCCCAGTACTGGGCCACGGGGAAAAAAATACCAGGCCTCAGCATGGCTGCTGGGAGGGGAGCAGAGCGGGGCGGGCTGGGAGGAGGTGTGGGGGAGGGG